TGTTATATTCTTATATTCCCATAATTTACTTTAATTTAAGTGGTCAGTATGAATTTTATCTTGACTTACTACTGTATTGACTACTTCAACATGACAGGTTAAGTAGTGCTTTGGTTATATATATACACTTGCCACATTGCTGCCTTTTTCTCTCTCTCTTCTCCTTTTCAGAACCCCATTCACGGTGGGAAATCCTTGGCGACTCTAGGGAACATGCACCCTATGTACATGACTGTCTGGATCACAGCTCGTATCAAGCGCGTTCCATATGACCTTTCCCAACAAATTCACTAATGATCTCGGCAAATCGCCAAAAGAACCTATTGTGCACCTTCCTTCCTTATTTGTACTCTACTATTGAAAATGAGGCTGTACAATACTGTTTCTGTCAGTGACATGGTGTAAATATGCAATCAGAAACTGTCTCTTATACTTAATTTAACTGCTATAACTTTTACAGTAATTGTAAAAGCATTTGTGACAATTTGATCTAGCCTGTAAACTGGCGTGACTCTTGTAACTTAGTTATTTGATAATAAATATATTATTATTATTATAAGACTTCTCGGTAGGGAGTAAAACAAATTCAAAGTTGCAAATATGAGCCGAAGATGTGGTTGGCATGTAAAAGTAGCACCAATATCATTGATCGGGTACTTCTTGCCAGACCAATGATCGCCGTTGGCAAGCAGACTTTTTTGAACTACAGATGGTGTGTTTTGATAGTGATTGAACTTAAGACCCATGTTGTACAACTTCTGGTATACACTGTTTCTATTATCTTCATATTACAACCAAATCATGATGCCTAAGCTTCTATTTCGTGGGTTATATGTTACTTAGCTAATTACCCTATTATATAGTTAACAAGTGAACATTTTGAGGTACCGGCAAGAACGGAAGGCTAACGAAAAATATGAAACAAAAACAACTTTGGATTGAAAACGTGTGAGTAAGATGATAAGCAATTAGGGAGGCAAATCATTTGAACACTAGTGAATCTGGAGCCGAAGGAAAAGATGAGGACCATAGAGAACATTAGACCGACCATTAGAGAATGAACAGCAGTTAGGTAGAAGTGGGAAGGAAGGCCCAGGACACTACTGATCAGAGAATTTTGATCGGCACCCTATGCTTCATTAGGGTAACAGGTCTAAGTAAGTAAGTAAATTGGGGACCTTAAGAATTTTTAGACTGAAAACATATGAACTGGATGGAAGTGATAATAACTCAATAAAGTTTGAGTTCATTACGGCCGATCATAGGTGGACAGTATCTGCTGATTTAGTGAGTTATTTGTCTATTTCAGCTAGGAGCCAAATGGGATTGCTTACTTAATGGAAGAAAATGATTCAGCTTGAAATATGAACAAAACTCCGAATCTGAATATAAAGCGTAGGAGCATAAGGGCAGACAGACTATAGGTTGTGAGTGAACGGAAGTCAAGTTTTTTGTCATTTGGTTATACTTATGTAAGTGGTCATGAGGGTGCAACACATGCACGGTTAGGCAACCGTCCAGATAAAAAATGTGAAATGAACTGAGCGTTTTTGAATGATTTATACTAAATTATATCAAAACTCAAATTCTGTGCTCAAATTAAATGATTATACATTCAGAAGGAATCAAAGCACATGAAAATCGCAAAATAATTTAAACTGAACAGCCCCTAATTAACTTGTCCAAGCTAATGCAAAGTACAAGACTCTAAATCGGTCAGTCAGCTACAAGATAGAACTTCGAACGGACGAACGTAACTTCAAGTGGCCATGACACTTTAGAGAAGAAACACAATAGTCAATTCAAATTCCACGGTAACAGAGGCAGTTAAAGTATAAACAAAATGGAGAAGATAAAGATTCGAAGGAATGGGTGAAATTAACTTAAAAAGAGAAAGCTAAAGATGATATAGAATTCATAGGATTGAGATTTCAGAGATCACATAGAATGAATGCACCAGCTCCACTGCAAATCATTCAAAGTGATAAAAGTATGCGAAAAAGGTTAGTCGTGGAGATAAAAAAGTTACTAAGAGATGAGGAAAGGCTTCGATCTTGAACAAGTTTATATCTGTTGTTAGGGGTATGAATGCAGATGTCACTTCCTGGCTGCCCCGCACCATGGAAGGGCATTGAGGGACTTAGAAAGGAAGCCGGCTTAATGTTAGTCTTAGCGACTTGAGAGCGTGACTCCGGAGCTAAAGTGACAACTTTTTAAAACCGGTCACGCATGACATTTTTATGGGAAGTCTCTAAAGTTTTAGCTCCGCTCTTCAAACGGACTTGCCAACGGAGACAAGAATCCCTGGGATAAGGTGAGGAGTGATATTTTTAGGGTCGACCTATTATAACCTCTTCCTTTCGTATCGATAAGACACCATCGTTGCAGATGCTGTTTGTCCGAGGGAAATTTCTTATTGTTGTCACATCTCTCTCCAGTCAGTAATACGACTTTGCTCTCGAACTCAAAATTTCTGCCTTTTAGGCTTCGATTTTGAACAAGTTGATCTTCTATACTGTTAGGAGTATGTTGGCGGGTGCTATTTCCTGGCAACCCACACAGCGGAAGTTGCTTCTTGAGGAACCAAAGGACGTTGTATTGGCATTGGTCTTCGAGCAGAGATCCCGCTCATCACCACCGGAGCCGGAAATCTGTTGTCTAATGTGAGATGTGACGTCTTAAGTGTAGATCTTTTATAACTTCCTCCTTCCTTGTGAGAAGGCAGCATCGCTGCAGGTGCTGGTTTTCCGAGAGAAACACCTTACTGCTACCACACTTCCATACGGTCAGGAGTAGGATCGCATCCTTAGACACTGAGCGGCTGCTTTTAGGTTTACTGTTCTCCGATAGACCTGCCTGGCCAAGCTGGACCTAACGGAACACATGTTACAGTCAGTATAGGTCGGTCGAGTCAGAACGACAGACTTTCCCGACTAACACGTCGAAACAGAGCTTACAACAGTAAGCCTTTACGTGCATAAACCTAACTTAGAACCTGTAGTCAAAAGGCTTCTTCCAGAATACACATATATCGCATATCTTCTCTCAACAACCTTTCATTCATGTATACTGTCACTGTTCTTACCGTTTTCACCCATCGAACATTTTGTCGACCAATCCAGCTGGCCATAAACGTCGAGTGGCAAAGTAGTTAACCATCTACCCTTAGGTTTCTATGTTTACGAAACTATTTCTGTCAAACATGTCGTAAAGGAACATATTTATTCATCCACAGACCCCAAGACATATTAGCTGGGCATTTTACTTTTAGCTATATTTCGATGTCAGTTCCTAAACTACCAGAGTTGCTCGATAACATCAGAATTGCTCGTTAGAGGTGACTAGTAGGATCATTCTAACAGACTGTACCAATCTTTCTCAAACTCCAACTCTATAGTTAGCTTGTGGGGATTGGAATACCATTGTATTCCCTTTGACGTTGTGATATCATTTAGCATACTTTTGCCCCATAAGCATACTATTTCCCAATTCAGCAGTTGTCACAACAACGTTAGTGCCGCTGTCACGGTAGATTTCTTTCAGAGTCTCCCTCATTCTCATCAATCATAATAAAGATATAATGTAAGTATTAGTGTTCAAACTAAAAGCTGATCATAGGAATAAAGAATGTCTTTGAAGTTGCATGGACCGAACGTACATTTATTGATGAAATAAATCGAAAGCCATAAGAAATTACATAAGTTCGAGTTTAAGACACAAATTTTGAAAGCGACAGGTATAAGGCATTTGAAACCTTACTCTACCAACTTCTAGTTTCGTTAATCAGTGTTTTTAATCTCACGATGGCCTTATTTCTGACTGCTGTCTATTTATTTCCCTATTACATGTAAGTGCATTCTATGTGCTTGCTGAGTCGTCGGCTCATCCTTTTCTCTTGTTCTTTCTTCTTCCAGGTAATTTCCCACGCTGCTCCTCACACCCCGCAGTACACAAGGTACCACCTGGCTAAATGCGAACCAACCAAAAGCTGGAGTTACACAGTATTTGTCGCGCTGTCTGTGAATAATCTTTGCTTTTGTGTATTTACTATACTAAAAGCATTCACAATCTACCTTAACCTCTATTTTTCCAGTTTAACTTTTGAATTTTGTTCAACCTCGTTTAGTGGTACTTTGTTTTCAGTTGGTTCTCACACTGACCAGAAATATATTCTTGCGATGCATAGCTGTGTTTTGCGGATGATATCAAAATCTCGATAGCAGTAAGTTGTGAGGCTGATCATCTTTATCTCCAAGATGACCTAGACGAGTTGGAAAAAAGGTCTCATAGTTAGGTCTTAGAAACTAACTCTAGAAAGGGTGTACAAATGCACATCGATCATGGCATTAAATACCAGCATATTGTCGATAGTATATCGCTACCACGAGTTCAGTACCAATAAGATAGGAGTAATAAGTCGAGTCTTATATTCACTTCACTGAGTATTCAAATGCTTTGACTAGGATATGTTTCGTATTATATACCCATCTATATACGACCTCACAGAGTATTGAGGCCAGGTAGCTAGACCATGTCTGACTAAGGATAATCTCGCACTTCAGAATGTCCAGTGAGTGGGAGCTGAGTTAGTGGCTGGTAATTCTAAACTTCCTTAAGATTACTGCTGAGAACGCTGTAACGTTTTCCGGTTACATTTTTGTGGAACCCGGAACGATCTTATTTTGGTATTCCGTACCGTAGAGATGTTAACATTTCTTGTCTTATCGTCTCTTCGAGAACTAATAATTTCCTCAGCTACTGAAAAAAGTTCAAAAACCGTGATCTAATAAACTCAGAGTGAGATTCTGTTTTACACGTTGAGTGATCAACGACTGGAACGCCTTACCTATCCACATTAGTAAACACTTCCAAGGAGACGGTAAATATTCACAAGTAAAAGATCTGAAAGGGTAAACACTGTTTGACTGACTTATTGTCTTTATTAATAAAACTGATTGCATTTGGTTTCGGATGAGTCAAAGAATTTAATCGCCCTTGCCGATTTACGTACTCCAAGGTCATACGTTGACATGCTCAGCACTGGTATGTTTATTTATTCTTGCTAATAGAACCGTCGCTGGTCAGTAATTTTAAAATTTAAATATATAAAATGTACTTCCAAGTCAAGGGTATGTTAGTAGGTGATTTTTTGAGCTTGAAGTGTCAACCAGAGTGCCTATTGTGAACACAAACTCTAATAACCACCACAAGTGAAGTATCACTACCTTCAGTCTGGTCTCATAATGATATAAGCGTAATAAAGAGCCGTGCTCATTTTGTAAGGCCTTAATATACTTCATTATTGCTGTCAAAGTGACTAAAATGTAAGAGAGTTAGTCACCTTTCATTAATCTAGATACAATTATGTTTACCATTGCTCACACAGATTCAGTGGATTCTTAATCAGAGAATTATTAATCCATGGCAAGCTTGCACAGTGGTTTTTATTCTCACTATGTATTAACTTGGTTTTTGTGTATTTATTACATTAAAAGCATCCGTAACCTACTTTGACTTCCATTATTCCGGTTTAAGGTTTGAATTTTGTTCAAACTCGTTTCGTGGTACTTGATTTTCATTTAATTCTCACTGGCCAAAACCTTGTGTATTTTGTCGTTCTCTTCACCTTTAACTCATCTAACAATGCGCAGCCGTATTTATGAATGTGGATAACCAAATCACTTCTTTTCCTCAGAGGAGGGAGTGCAGTGTAATGGATATAACAAATTGTTCCATAAGATATGTATCTGTTGGAAATTCACCACTTAAGGTTTTCGAAGCGCAATACACACTTTATGTATCTTGTTATTCGAACGAGATGTTACTGATCCAGGAGGCGATGGATATTCTGGCATTGACCACTAGGAAAGATAAAGGTAATTCCACTTGTGAATCGAGCACTGGGAGTGAAGTATGTGACACTTTAATAAGTGCATTTACGGGATGAGCCAATCATAGACAGAAGGCATATGAAGGGAAAATTCAACTTAAACTAAAGTAGAATATCACTAAACGTTAGTTGTTGGGACTCAGAATTTGGTAGCTGAATACCCGAACAAAACCGTCACCGTTCGGAGCAGTCCTAATTTGCATCTCCAAAAGGATGTGTAATGGATAGAAGTGCAGAAACATAGGATAAAAACAAAACAATACACTAGGAACAGCTCGTGTTTGGCTGATAACTCTTTGGTAGGGTCTTATTAGAAGTCATAGAGTGCTCCACCAATGTTCCTAGTCACGACGATATTCAACTAATGTGTTCTGGTAAGAAACTGGATCATTCATGGCATCTTACCAAATAATTCTACATGAGTAAAGACTGAAAAACTGATAATAGAATACCTGGTCGGGGTCTGCATGATCAGTAGTTAAGGACTTTGAATGATATTCCTCAAAATCGCTTGCAATAGCGCAAGTGCATTCAGTATTTATCTTCTCTCAAATTCCAATCTCTTCCCTTTTTAAATCGATTCCAATGGGAGATAATTCTCGAACCGTAATATCCTCCATTACTGCTGCTACTACTACTACTACTACTACTACTACCACTACTACTACCTCTACCACTATGGGATTTGAATAGGCCACTCCATTTCTGTCTGCTAATGTGGTATGGAAACTTGAAATGATGTCCAACTGATATCGGTACGTACCAAGCTCTACGTTGTAGCTGAATGACTTTTCAGGGCAGCTTAAATGATTTCTGTTTCGTCTTTTAACGAGGTTTTTTGCAAGTTTGGGCTACCAACCCTGTATGCAGCCATCCTCTATTAGTGCTTGCCTCAGCAGCAACCCTAAGAAAACTACAGGTAGATTTGCTTACTATTTAGTATTATTCATTTAAGTGTCTTAACTGGTCATGTGCAAATAATGTAGGCATTTTAATTTTGACGATATATAACGTTGACATGATCAACTGTGACAGATTCATGGATCATTTGAATATGATTGGCGAAATATGATGGTAATCAGTCTAAATGCTATCTAGTTGGAACCTATTGGGTCTTCGTTTACTTTTATTCATACAAGAAATTTGAATGCTATTTAAAAATAAGTTCGTTGTTCTCTGATAAATGAACTTTATGATTAACATGTAACCGTTTTAAATTTTAGCTAGATTGCATTAATAATTTCAGTTTCCTGATTTATGGATTCTAATACTGTCACTGAAGATAACGTTATTGGAGGGTTTACAATTATAAATGAAAAAGTTAAACCCAATGTACAAAATGTAGGTGCATTGAATGGATTAAATTTCATTATATACTCTAACAGGTAGAAGAAGTCCTCCCTTATTGGATTACACAACCTGAGCTATTTTCACCTAATCTTAAACAATCTCATCCTGTCAGTGAAGTAGCTAAAATTGGCCAATTTTTACAGCTTCGATTAAATGAAATCGGTGTCACTCATTTCTTTCCTGGTAATTAGTTAAATTTCTAATTATAGCTGATGGTTATAGTCCAGTATGCTGTAATTCCTTACGTGTTAGATTGTTACGTCACGTCCGAGCGTCGGCCGTTGTGTCGACCAAGAGACATTTGTATTTGTGCACCGACAGGAAGTGGGAAAACATTAGCTTATGCTGTACCAATCATTCAAGTACCTCTTGTCACTCTTGTATTTTCACTTTAGCTATTTCTTAATCGAGTCCATAGATTTATTCGAGCTTTAATTGTTGTTCCAGTCAGAGATTTGGCTGTTCAAGTGTATAAAACTTTCAGTCAACTTGTTGAGGGAACAGATATTCAAGTTTGAAAATTTATTTCATATTTTGAGTGTATGATTATGTTTAGGTTGGAGTTCTTGCTGGTATCAAAAATTTTAGTAAAGAACAAGAAGACATCATAGACCTGTAAGTTTTGTAATTATAAGATTGAATATATACATTTCAGTACAGATGAAAGTCACACTATTAAAGTTGACATTGTTATAGCTACACCTGGACGTTTAGTGGATCATTTGTACAATACACCTGGTTTTAGTATGGAACGTTTAAGAATCTTGGTGCGTTTTAAATTGATAAGTTTGTTAAACCGTCTGTTATTGCGTTTTAATTTTTGCTTGAATGTTGGTTCAGTAGAAAATACTGGGACCATTCTTTGGATGTGAAACGTGACCAATTAGAAGCGAGGATATTCGTAGGTTACTAGTATTCGATCACAGATGTCTCAGAAGCATTGCTCGTATATCCTGTGACCAACCACTGACTGTCTCGACGAGCGATGTTTCGTGGTGTAGGCTGGAAGAAAGCTAGGGGCGGCCAGACCAAAACATGGCACAAATCCACAGTCATTGACTAGTGGGCCGATTTATGTTGGTAAGTGCAGACTACCACGTTGGGATCCGCGAGATTATGGTAACCAGTGGTCAGAGATCTTGAATAATATGTCTAGAATTCGTTTGCAGTGACGGAAAGGCATCCATTCTTTGTCTTTTCTCAAATTGTAGTCTTCTGAATCCCTCATCACCTTTATCATTTTTTAAATTTATTTCACTGAATTATGCTTGGAATTGTCTTCGAACCCTAATCTTCACCATTATCGCTAATACTTCTACTATCGCTACCACTGTGGGATTTAAGTTGACGATTCGATCTCTGGTTGCTAATTTGGTATTGCAACTACAACTGATGTACGTATGTACAAAGTTCTACGTTGTTATTTGTAAAATAATCCTGGCAGATAACACATGCACTTCTTAGATCGATGTTTGTAGCTTTGAAATGTCAACATCTCAACTCCATGGTTAAAATGGGCAAGTACTTTTACATTACAAAACCTTGACTTCATTTTTAAAAATAGAAAAGAATTTTCTTGTAAGTGACTGAACTGACTGAACCCTAACAAGAAAGATTAGAGCATCAATAAATAAATAATTAGCAGGCAACTAACACACACACAGTGAATCGGAAAATGCATGCGGTGTCAGCAAGCGGCAAAGGTGATGTTTGGATATTCATCAAATATCCTAAGAGAATTATTTTTGTGACTCTAATTCTATTGGTTAATTCCTACTGGTCAATATTATGGTCGTCCTAACTATCAATGTCACGTACTTAAATGTTGTTTCCCATTGGTCGTCCTGACTGTCAATGTCACATACTTCAATGTTGTTTCCTATTCGACCTAACTGTATAAATACGCATTATCTGTAAAGTTTTATGACCCGGTCCCGGATCCCTAGTCCGGGATCCTGATTCTCTTCTGGACTCCGACCTCGTGCTTTCTGGATGCTTGTAGAATACAAGTTCTACTTCATATAAAGCCTTTTTCTTTTACTCAATGGGGGTTTGGGACAATCGGATTAGAGTAGACTGTCGTATCGCCGGATCCTCGCCCTCGTTTTTCGACTAAGGCAAACTCGTAATAATAATTCAAGCATATCAAAATGACGTGTTGACATGCATGCGTAACAAATTCTAATCTCTTGAATTCCTCATTCTCTTTTTAAATTTATTTCACTGAATTATACTTCTTGGATAACTTTTTCAGTCCCTAATCTTTTCCATTACTGCCTATACTTCTACTACCTCTACTACTAACTATTAGTTTTGAACTGACAATTGCGTCTCTGTGCTAATGTGATATGGTAACCGAAACTAATGTACGCCGCACGTACGAAGTTCTACGTTGTAACTGACTGACTAACTATTGTTAAGCTAAATTACTTTTAAAATAATCCTTGCATATAACACTAATGCACTCCCTAGATCAATGTTTGTAGCTTTGAAAATTCAACCTTTAGTGTGAAACTGGTAATTTATCTCCTCATTTATTATTTTGAAAAGATTTATATATCATGTCAGATGATTTGTGTTTTTATCCACTCTTACTCCTTTTTTTAATCATCAGTGTTCGATTGTACACATAGAGGTGCACACACAGACTGACTGACTGATCAAACAAGTGATCAGGATTAATTTACAATACACTATGAAGTTTATTGGTGATATTGAATAAAAATATTCTATTCACTGTGTGGTACGCGCTACTTATAAGTAGTATATGACGCGAGTGTAAACGTAATGTCTGGCAGCAGAAGATGAGGGAAGATCAAGAAATTAAGAAGAGTGGGAACACAATGGAATTTGTATGAAACGCATGAATAAGTGAAATGTCAGACAATGGATTGAAAGATTTGCAAATTTCACCGTTTACGATATATGGTATTCCTATTTTACCAATTAACTCTGTAATTTGCGATAAATACAATTCGGTTGCCCTCACCTGTGTTCTCCTTCAGTACAAATGTATTGTATTGTATTGTACTGTATTTTAGGTAATTGATGAAGCCGATCGAGTAATCGTTGAAGAAAAACAAAATTGGTATCATACTCTAGAAGATGTATTGTACTATTATACATCGTCAACAAATCACAGTAGTTGGTCCAATGTATCTGGATGTAAACGTTTTAGACCTGTGCCAACCGTTGGTTATCACTATGATAGAAGTGCTGATGTTACTTTACAAAAGGTTAGTTGATGCTTTTCATATGTTATAAACTTGTTTTTATGCTGATTACACTTATTCATACTTGAAGAATTTCACCGTATTTGTTTTGATATTTTTAAGAAAACAAGCCACTTCTAACAGTTTCTGTCTTATACTATGCTGACAACTCACTGTCACTATATGGGCGGTTTTGTGTTTTACCTTAGATTTAATATATAGTTTTGAATCCTATAATAAATAGTTTATTCCTCTCGATCGTAGCTGTTATCTTGGTGTGATGGTCGGGCTTTCCTATCGTGTTGATTCAGTTGAACTGTGTTGTCTGGAGCATGTATATTCAACAGTTCAGTTGGAGAGCGGTAAGACTAAAAGCAGCACTTTTGAGTCCGAGGGAAAAGTTGTATCGCTGACTGGAGAGGGGTGTGACAGCAGTAAGGTGATTTCCTCGAACAAATAGCATCTGCAACGATGCTGTCTTATCGATACGAAAGGAAGAGGTTATAATAGGTCGACCCTAAAAATATCACTCCTCACCTTATCCCAGGGATTCTTGTCTCCGTTGGCAAGTCCGTTTGAAGAGCGGAGCTAAAACTTTAGAGACTTCCCATAAAAATGTCATGCGTAACCGGTTTTAAACAGTTATCACTTTAGCTACTCACTCACACTCCCAAGTCGCTAAGACCAACATTAAGCCAGCTTCCTTTCCGAGTCTCTCAATCCCCTTCCATGGTGTGGGCGGTCAGGAAGTTGCATCCTCCCTAATACTCCTAACAAGACACGAGATCAACTTGTTCAAGATCGAAGCCTTTCTCCATCTCTTAGTAACTTTTTTATCTCCACGACTAACCTTTTTCGCATACTTTTATCACCTCGAGACTCTAATGTCAATGTTTTGAGTATATGTAATGCTATTGTTGGTCCCCTGAATCTGCTCCAAGCTACATGTATGTTCGAACCTTGTGCCAAATAGATCAACAGGTTTATTTAGCTAGGATTTGAAAATTTAGTGCTATCGATGTATGCTTGTTCCGGAGCACATATTTAGATCTAGATAATGCTCTAGTACGAGCACGTATTTGTCTGTGGCTTACTGGGTGTACGAAGGACACATCGAGGAAACTCCTTAGAGTTCTGTTTAACGATAACAAATCCAAAAGTATATTTTGAGAGCAACTAGAAAAACGGTTAGGCAGCCATGTGAGTGATTTCCACCCTGAGGAAGCTGGGAATGATGTCTAAGAAGCTGTGGAAACAGCAGTGATATCTGCCAGTAAGGTAAGCCGTAGGAATAAGGAAGAGCAGTGGATTTCAGTAGCATCTACTGTGCTGATAGATGTTTGGAAACTCATCCCTTCTGGCTTTGAACACGATGATGATAGGAAGCGTACTCGGTGATCGCCAGCAGTGATGGGTAGCGAAAACAAAAGAGATGGAAAAGGCAGTAGCAATAGGTAACAGTAGACAACTATTCAGACTTACCAAGGAAACCGATGTTAGTAATCTGACTGTTAGTGAAACTGTTTCGGAAAAAGATGGGCATATTATTCATTCTCGATATAGGGGATTTGACTGATGGGAAAAACACTAGGAATTAGTTCAACTGGCCTTTAGCCACCCTTCGGTGACCCACGATGTAAAATCACCTTGAATGGCACGTTGATATAAGTTCTCCAACTCTTAATGAGGTTGAAAAGGCTGTAAGAAATCTGAAGTGATGGAGAGCGACAGGACCTGACGGTGTACCTGTGAGGATGGTGGTGCAGTTTTAGCAGTTTAATTGACTGGGGTCTCAAATGGAATCCGCGAGGTGAACGTAATTTTATCTGATTGGTTTTGAATGCTGATCGTTCCAGTCTATAGGGAAAGGAAATATGTTCTGTTGTGACAATTACAGAAGAATCAGTTTAACTAACAGTCTGTAAGATACTAACTTCAATCATATTTCGACACCTAACCAGAGCTGATAAAGAGTAGACTTACAAAGACAAGACCAGTTTCGGACATATATATATATTTATATGATTTGATAACTTGAGTCAATGTGTCACATTTTACGTGGCTTGTGGATTACTCAACTGATGATAGCTGGTGAAATGAATAAACTTAATCAGTTTCAGTCAGTGAGCCATATCAGTAAGTGTAGGATATTTGGTTAGGGTCCGCTATACAATACTAACGGATTGTTTATAGACTTTGAATGACATGTCACAAAATCGTTTGTAGGTGTATCTATGGTTTCTGTTCTCTCTAATTCTTATCTCATGAACCCGTCATCACATTTATCTTTCTCTTTTCAATACTGCTTGAATAATTTCTTCGGTCCCTAAACTTTTTGCTTACCGTTGATCCTTCAACTATCTACACTACTATAGAATTTGAAATGACAATTGCATCTCTGTGCTAATGTAGTATGGCAACTTGAGCAGCCTATGTACCCGTACATACCAAGTTCTACGTTTTAGCTGATAAAACACAACAAAAAGCGCTTTAAATAAATAAAATGTAATTAAGGGCAACGATAAAGCATTTTTCATCACTCAATCTGCATTATTCAATGTCATAGTTCACAACTTTTTTTCCCTCTTAAATTAATTGCATTGCGGGGTTGTTGTGAAGATTGTTAAGTTTTATTTGTAACCATGAATCGATCAATGTTAGACCACCAGTAGAAACCTGGAAGCACTGGACGGCCGTTTCGTCCTGGTATGGGACTCATCAGCAGTGCGCATCCACGACTCCTGCACCCCGCAGGATTCGAACCCAGGACCTTCGGCATTGTGCGCGAACGCCCTAACTGTTAGACCACTGAGCCGATATCTAACGGTGTTAATGTCTAACTTGATCAAATTCACGGAGTTGCGCAACCTCATACCCTGTATACATCCGGACAGGTTTGAACTTCACTGGTCACGTCTTCCCACTAGAACTCGGAGAAGATTCCTCACCAAGCTAGTCACTAGTGGACACATGTAATTGCATTGCGGGGTTGTTGTAAAGATCGTTTCTTTGAAAAAAATTTTTTTCCCCTTTGTCTCTTTCAGATACTTGTTTCGGCTACATTGACTCATGACCCGGAACCATTGAAACAATTTAATTTATACTTTCCTATTTTATTCACATCAAGTCAATTGTATCATCATCATCAGAATGGCAATCATATTATTGATCATAATAAGAAAATAGAGAATCATAGTTCAGTGAAAAGCAAAAATAAGAAGGAATCAATGAAAATCGATGCTGAAAATCAAGAAAATCCCAATGCTACCGGACCATTGAACAACACTAATGAAAATCATCCGACGACAAGTGTTGGTCAATTTGTTATTCCTGAAAGTTTAGAGGTAATTGTTGCAACCATGTTTTTCTTTTCTGAAGGTAGATTTAACAATTTTCACTTTGAGTTAGGGTGTTTTTTTTTAGCGAATTAGATTTCTTACGAGATGGGACATGTATTACGTATGGTTAATCCAGCCACCGACTGCCTCGATGAGCTATGTTTTGTGGTGTAGGAGTAGGTTGGAAGAAAGTTAGGGGCGACCAAACCAAAACATGGCAGAAATCCATGAAGTCACTGACAAGTGGACTGAGTCATGTTGATAAGTGTAGGCTGCCTGGTTGGGGTGCGCGAGACGAAAGTCACCAATCGTTAGAGACCTTGAATGACATGGCTCAAAATCGTCTTGCAATGTCGCAGGTGCATCCACTCTTTCTCTTCTCTCAAATCCTAATCTTCTGGATTCTTCAGCACCTCTGCCTTTGTCTTTATAACCTTATCTCACTGAATTATACTTCTTGAATAATATCTTCGAACCCTAGTCGTCTTCACTACCATTAGTATCTCTACTATATTTATCACTATGGGATTTGATTTGACATTTGGGTCTCTGTGCTAATGTGGTATGGCAACATGAACTTATGTGTACATACGTACGAACTTCTACGTTGCAACTGACTGACTTTCCACGATATGGGGTCGTTAACTCCATGCTCAATCTTCCTCCTTTTTTCACCCGGTCTTGGGACCATCAGTAGCCCAAAAGGGGCTCCAGGTGGACTTTCTAGTTCAACTGTATTCCAAATTAAACAGTTAGGATTTCTTTACATTAATGGTTCGAGAACCTAAAACGACTTCGTGAAAGTATACCGTTATTATGAAGTAAGATGGGTCTTATCAAATGTTTGGTGATGGATTACATTTAGACAGTTGCACTTCGTAATGAACAATTTGGACATATAGGTACGGAAGCTGAGGTCAATTTTTTTTGGCAACTTACTCTACATGTGCAGCTGACAAGATTCCGGTTTTCTGATCAAATGATGTTCATGCTGTGTGACTATCTAATACAGTTTAATAAATATGACTTACTTCTGTTACCCATGGTGGAGCGTAGGCGGCTGACCAGCATCCTGTAACATACTCTATCCTGGGTTTTCTTTTCAAGTTCTATCCAATTGCTATTCATTCTTTGCATGTGTGTCTCCAATTGTCGGTACAGTGTGTTCTTGGGTTTTCCTCTGTTTCTTTGGCCTTGAGGACTCCAAGTTGGTACAATACAGTTTGTTGTCGTAAAATTTTAGAACAGTTACTGTAACAATAAACATATGGTAGTTGATTAACGTCCTCATCAATGCTCAAGGCTCTGGATATTTCTGTAATGATATACGGTGTCCGTCTGATTTGGTCGCGACACATGCTAACCCTTCCCAACTGGCTACTTAAGTGAGAAAGCAACAACAGGAGAGGAAGTTGGTTTACCTCTTTACTAACTTAAGCCTTTTACCGCCAATGGAGCATAGGCCGCCAACCACCATTCTCCTATTCTCGGCGTAATGTGTTCCTTGGCCTTCCCGTTTTCCTTTGACTTTGAGGACTCCAAGTTACGACTTGCCTCGTGATGCAGTTGGGTGAATTTCACAATGTCTGTCTTATCCACATCCAACGCTTTTTCCTAGTTTCTCCTTCAACTGGTATCTTGTTTGTTTTCTCCCACAGTTGATTGTTGCTGTTGTTGTCTGACCAACAGATGTGGACTATTTTGCGTAGACAACTGTTAATAAACACTTGCATTTTCTGAGTGATGACTTTCGTTGTTCTTTAAGCTTCTTATCCCACGCAATAGGACAGTTTCGATGCTTGTATTGAAAATTCTGACTAGTGTTGATGGATAGTTGTTTTGGATTCTAGATGTTGTTCAATTATAGAAATGCAGCCCCTACTTGGTTAATCCTTGTCTTGACATCCGTTTATTATTATTTATTAAAACGCTAACCAGAATAAATAGTCAATATGATACACAACACAAAATATTCAAAGCATAGATGTCTTCAAAACATTTCTCCAATCTAGATTACTAAATTTAGCCAGAATTATAATCATAAAAAGTTCGTAATTTAACTTGCAAACTTGAATTGACTGATTTTACTATTAGTTATCAACGTTTCAAGACCTTAATCGTTACAAAAATGTATTCTACACCTTGTCTTCTTTTAAACCATTAATGTTTAGTTGTTTGTTATATATCTGGTCTCCACACATGTTCTACTGTCAAAATAGAGCGATCTTTAAGCTCAAAAGCTTAGGTACTAAATTTTCAACCGCTTAATAATCTCCATGAGTCTCTCGCTCTTGGTATCCAAAAGCAGTATTTGGGAAGTACAGAAATAACTTCTCCAAAAATCAATTTAAATAGGAGAAACAACGCTATTTGTGAGATTGCGAACGACTCTGAAACTGTAGAAGCCTCTACCAAAATATGTTTAGAGCGATTATATATTTGGTCATCTTCTAAGCTGAATAAAGAAAGCCTAATTAATTTTTTTCTCCAAATTTTGCTTGAACCACTTCCAAAAAACACTGACTAATCGAAGTATTTACATCATCTCCTGTTGCTTCTGATTGCTGTTCCAAGGCATTAGACGAAATCTTCTAACAATGCTAAGCTATATTTGGTTGCGTCCACCTACTGTTTTATCTTGTGTTCTACTTGTTGGTATTTCTACAGTAATCTTGTCGTGGTGATGGAGAAGATTTGTAGCTCAGGTGAATGGATGATTTTCGTAGAGTTTGGTTCTCCGAGCTGGATGCCGATTTGGTTGTGGAGCTTTCATTGTTTTATTTCTGAATAACATTAACAGCATAAATTCCAGGTAATGAATGAAGTGAAGTATACGAATTTCTGCACGTTTGACCCGTAGCTTGTTCTGTTACAGTCAAAACAAATGTGCAACCAACGACAGGTTTAAAGTCAATAACAACCAATCAAGATCGAGGTTAACAAAACAAGCTACGAGTCATATACTTGGAGAAATTCGAATACTTCACTTCTTTACCTGAAGTTTCTACTGATGACGGTGTTAGGTTCAGAAGAAGACGAATAATGAAAAGTCCACAACCAAATCAGCATCCAGCTCAGAAAACGAAACTTCACCACTACAGTAGTCTTCATGAAACTGGAAGGCCGTTTCGTCCTGGTATGGGACTCCTCAGCAGTGCGAATCCACGACTCCTGCAACTCACAGGATTCGAATCCAGGACCTTCGGTATTGTGCGCGAACGCCCTAACCGATAGACCATTGAGACGGTATCTAACGGTGTTAATGTCTAACTTGATCAAATTCACGGAGTTGCGCAACCTCATACACAGTCTTCGGTAGACACTGCCTACACCCGAACAGGTTCAACTTCACTGGTCACGTCTTCCCACTAGAACTCGGAGAAGATTCCTCACGAAGCCAGTCACTAGTGAGCACAGGTAATTTGCATTACGGGGTTGTGAAGATTGTTAAGTTACACATGGTTAGGGCGTTCGCGCACAACACCGAAGGTCCTGGGTTCGAATCCTGCGGGGTGCAGGAGTCGTGGATGCGCACTGCTGAGGAGTCCCATACCAGGACGAAACGGCCGTCCAGTGCTTCCAGGTTTCTAATGGTGGTCTAACATTGATCGATTCATGGTTTCAAAAATGTGTAACTTAACAATCTTCACAACCCCGTAATACAATCTATACTGTATAAAATAACATTTCTCAAATATCTATGATTATTTTGCTAAGATTTTACACATAAATTTTATTCAAAAATTTTTTTACAAATTTTTACTTGTTCATTTGAAAAAATTCAAGGAATTTCTTGTCACAGCCAAACCAAATATTCGTGTATTATTTCTTGTGTATTTGATTCGACAAAAGCATAAACAACGTATTCTATGCTTTACAAACACCATAGATTGTGCTAAACGTTTAAATATGCTCTTGTCTTATTTCAATGGTATTCAAAGTAAATTCTTATCAAGTCATTTACATCCGGATAAACGTCAAAGAATATTGAATTTATTCAGTAGTGGAATGTGTCAAGTAAGTGACTGTTTGTAACAGCAGCAGCAATAGCCTGTTTTGGTGACTGTTTTTTTTGTGTGTGCATCTACATTTAAACTTTGGTATTGGATTATTCGATATTCAATAAATAAGTTGTACATTTCAACCACATTCTATGCTGACTACTAAAGGACGAGTGTACTGTGCAGTAGTTCGCTCGTTCCTACTTTATGGCTATGAAACGTGGCCAGTTAGATTAGAAGATATTCGTAGGCTACTGATTTTCGATCATAGGTGTCTCCGAAGCTTTGCTCGTGTATCATGGGGCAACCGAATAAGCAATGCTGTTATTAGGAAGCGCTTGCTAGGTAAGAATGGCAGATCAATAGATGAAGCAATGAAACTTCATCAGTTGAGGTGGTTGGGACATGTGTTACGTATGCCTAATCACCGACTGCCTCTTCAAACTATGTTTTGTAGTGTAGGAGTAGGTTGGAAGAAAGTCAGGGGCGGCCAAATCCAAACATGGCAGAAATCCATGGAGTCATTGACGAGTGGACCTAGCCATTTCGGTGGTTGTCGACTAACAGGAAGGGGTCCGCGAGGTGATAATAGTCGGTGGTTAGTGACCCCGAATGAAATGGTTCAAAACCGTTTGCAATGGCACAGGTGCATCCAGTCTTTGTGTTCTCTCAAATCTTAATCTTCTGGATTCTTCAACAACTCTAGTTTTTGACTTTCTAAACTTATCTCACTGAATCATACTTCTTGAATAATATCTTCTCATCCCAACCTTTCCGATTACTTCTAATACCTTTACTAACTCTATTACTATTGGATTTGAATTGACAATTACATCTCTGTGCTTATGTGGTATGGCAACACGAACTGATGTACGTACGTAGGTACGAAGTTCTGCGTTGCTGTTGATTGATTGATTGACGACTCAATATTGGAAGCATTGTAATATCCACTAACTTTTAAACGAACAGTGTGACTGTAAACTGATTGATGATTACATGAATATGTACTTTGCTTGATAAATATGGACTATCCATCGTCAATGCCTCATTGAGAGGTGTCAATAATAACTGGTGACCAACGAGGATGTAATCGCCAGTTTTCAGTTTTGTTATAGACCATCTACTGATGGACATGGTTCTATTTATTTGTGACTTTGTCCCCAGTATTTCTTTAAACTATTCAAAGTACACCAACAAGATTGTTCTATTGAACATCAATCAGTCAGCCAGTCAGTCAGCTACAAAGTAGAACTTCGAACGTGCGTACATCAGTTCAACTTGCCATACCATAATAGCACGGAGAGATTAGATTGTCAATTCAAATTCCATAGTAATAGTAGAGGTAGCAGAAGTATTAGTGGTAATCAAAAAGATTAGGAATCGAAGTTATAATTTGAGAAGTATATCCCAGTGGAATCAATTTAAAAAAAGAAACTCAGAAGATTAAAATTTCCCTTTGACATTGAGGGTTCCTAGCCAGGGCTCACCTCACGATGCATTTGGGCAATGTCCACAATGTTTCCTATCCACCTCTAATGCTTTTTCCTAATTTCTCCCTTAACTGGGATCTGGTTTATTCTGTCCCGCAGTAGGTTGTTGCTAATCCTGTCTGACCAACAGACGTAGAGTATCTTGCGCAGACAACCTTTAATAAATACCTGTATCTTTTGGATGATGACTGTCGTAGTTCTCCCAGTTCCCTTCCGCATACAGTAGAACCATCTTGACATTGGTATTGATTGACAGGCATGCGTTTTGAGTTGCAGATGTTCTCCAATTATAGTAGTAATACTGCCCTTGCTTTGTTAATATACCCAACAGTTCAGTCTGAACAAAGGAATTTGTGAATGATTGACGTATTTACAAATAAATGAAGTTGTCAAAATTCACATTTTATTTGATCAAATATTCCATCCTCTTTTTTGTTTGTTTCAAACTTCAAAACCAAAATCAACAGATTCTAGTTTGTACAGATTCTATGGCACGTGGTATGGATATCAACGATGTTGAATGTGTTGTCTCTTATGATGTACCGCCTAGTATTAAAGTCTACATACATCGAATTGGTCGTACAGCTAGAGCTGGTAAAAAAGGCACTGCATACACTTTATTGTCTACTAATCAAGTAAGTAAAAATTTTCGTTTCTCTTCTAAATTATCCTTAATTTGTTTGTTGCTTGTTTTTAAATTTTATGTTACTAGTATACTGAATGGAAACGTACATATCAGATGAAATAGTAATATGCTTAGGAAGGAGACAGTTTACTAGGCAAATGTGTATACCTAATCTTCTTCATATGTCTTTTAAGGTTCTAAACACTTTGATTGTGTCATACTGTCGAATGGGACACTCTTCTCTTTAGTAGTAACTACTGGGCGACACTCCGCCTCATGCTACTTATAAGCCACGTTATGAGTAGTATCCACCACTCCAATAACATTAACCACTTATAAATTGGTGCAATGAGTCATATGAGTTATATTTTGTTTACGTGTATAACGTTTTTGTGATAGTACCCAGATATTCAAACTGAAATAAGTGTAGCGGGCTTCAGTCATTATACCATCGTTGAACTCAAGAAACATCGACAAGCCTCCGTAAACTAGTTAGCGTTTTTTTCTTAGGGAGTCAGTTTTCTACAGGATGGGGTCGCTCAACCCTCCTATTTTATCCTAGCTTCGAACCGGTAGTAAACCTAGAGGGGCTCCGATTGTCGTCGACCAAAATCTATGGATCAGTTACTATGAATCTGTCAAGTTCTTATGTTATTTATGCGGTTTACGCGTTAACCTATAGGATATACTTATCTGTAAATTCCCGTTTAGGCGTTTGTTAACGTTATAGGTTTATTGATTAGTTGACAGTGAATGATCAGTTTAAATAAGGCGATTGTTAATTTGACATACTGCCTGCAACCCAATCTTCAGTGTGGATTGTGGTTTTTTGTGCATTACTAGCGATCTTCAATCAATATGAAATCTGTGTTACAGGTACATTCATTATTCAGACTTTCAAACAATCAATACACATTTCAAAGCAAATGGGAGTCAGATTTGTTGGTTGAGTAAATGCTATCGAAGTTGAACACTGCGACATTATATCGTTTATTAGTTTTATGACTTTTACATTTTAACTCAAAATAGCAACGTAGATATGTAGTAACGAAAATTATATTAGTTTTTCCATGACGATAGTCCGTTGTCGGAAAGAAAACTTGAACCATAGTTTCATGCTAGTTAACGCTAGTCAGCAAGGTGTGCCTTCAATCTTGATGTAATTGGTGTCTCCTGTAGAATTCAAACCGGTTTAGTTACCTGGGATCTGACTCCAATTTAGCCCAACGATTGAATATTCTACTAAATAAATCTTCCCCGTTTGTGCACTTTGTACGACGGCAGTAATAAGAAGCTGAATGCGGATTCAATTGGATGAGTTTATTTCACATGTTATCATCGTTCATCCAGACCGATATGAGAATACAAAGCGTAAAATCAAAGCAAAGCGAAAAGAAGTAGAGAAGGCGAGTGTGACAACTCACTGCGATGAGGCATGACTAAGTATTTATGGTCAGACAATAAAAATAGGCTAGATATCTGATAAGCGAACTGAGCAATGCGCATACTCACTCAAGTAAAATCGACCAAAATGTACGCAAATCATTGACGAAATCGAAAGACGTGTAAATAGTAACTTGAGCAGAAGTCAGTCAGTCAGATGCAACGTAGAACTTCGTACGTAAGTACATCAGTTCATGTCGCCATACCACATCAGCACAGAGATGTAATTGTCAATTCAAATCCAATAGTAGAAGAGGTAGTAAAGGTATTAGAAGTAATCGAAGAGGTTAGGATTAGAAGATATTATTCAAGAAGTATGATTCAGTGAGAAAAGTTTAGAAAGTCAAAACAAGAGGTGTTGAAGAATCCAGAAGATTAGGATTTGAGAGAATACAAAGAATAAATGCACTGGCGCCATTGCGAACGATTTTGAGCCATGTCATTCAGAGTCTCTAACCATCGATTATTATCATCTCGCGGACCCCAACCAGGTAGTCGACAACTAACGACATGACTCAGTCCACTTGTCAATGACTTTATGGATTTCTGCCATGTTTTAGTTTGGCCGCCCCTAGCTTTCTTCCAACCTATTCCTACACTACAAAATAAAGCTCTTCGAGGCTGTCGGTGGTTAGGCATATGCAACACATGCCCCAAACACCTCAACTGATGAAGTTTCAATGCTTCATCTATTGATCTGCCATCCTTACCTAGCACCCGTTTCCTAATAACAGCGTTGCTCACTCGGTTGTCCCATGATACACGAGCAAAGCTTCGAAGACACCTATGATCGAAAACCAATAACCTACGAATATCTTCTACTTGAGCAGAAAAGGTTAATTGGTTTGTTCAAAGGTTGGGACAAGCCATATGGGCTGAACATAATTCGTACACACACACTGCTACATTAGCATCACCTACCTCCATTTAGCTCTTACGGCTGTGCGTGACCTCTTATACAATTGAGATATTGACAATGGGTTAATTACGGTGTAGTGAATTTCTGCCGTATAATAAATTCTTTTTCTTCATCATCCTCTATTTTATCTAATTTTTCTATTGTTATTGTTATTATTGTTAGTTTTATCATTTCAAAAAAGATTTAAAATCTGTTGGTAGAAAAAAAATTAAACAAATACAATTTCATCAAAGTAATTGGTCCACATTCAATGCAGAATATCAAAATGCATTAAAACATTATGAGATGAGTATAAAAGTAAGGAAAGGGGTGTAGTTTGTTTTTATTTTTTTAAATTGAATATTTGTAAACTTGTTTTACTTTTTTTTATGTGATGATAGGGTTTGTGGGGAGAGTGTTGAGGTTAATTTTTTGAGGCTATGATGATGATGATGAATCGATCATCAATGTTTGGGCATTATGTCAGTTAGTCAGTCAGTCAGTCAGTCAGTTGCAACGTAGAACTTCGTACGTATGTATGTACATCAGTTCAGGTTGCCATACCACATTAACACAGAGACGCAAATGTCAAATCAAATCCCATAGTGATAAATATAGTAGAGGTATTAATGGTAATGAAGAAGATCAGGGTTTGAAGATATTATTCAAGAAGTATAATTCAGTGAGATAAGGTTAGAAAGACAAAGGTAGAGGTGCTTTTTAAATTTATTTCATTGAATTATATACTTGTTGAATGATATCCTCAAGCTCTAATCTTTACGATTACTGTTAATAATTTTATTACCTCTACTAATGTCAGTCAGCCAGTGAACTTCGTACGTACGTGCGTACATCAGTTTAAGTAGCCGTATCATATTAGCACAAAGATTCAATTGTCACTTCAAATACCATGGTAGTAGAGGTAGAGAAGTGTTAGTAGTAATCGAAAATTTTAGGTGATGAATTCAGAAGGTTACGATTTGACACAACACAAGCCCATATAAAGAAGGATGGATGGGATTAGGGTTGATGACCCCATCCTACAAAAAAACTAACTCGCTAAAGAAACGCTAACATGAAGAACTAATTCCAACCATTTAAACTCTGCTCTGGGAATTAGAGGGTTTTTATTTAGACGAGTTATGACTTGTGACAACCAGAACCCTTCCATTGTGTGGACAGCTGTTAGAATATTCATCAAATATCCTAAGATAATCATTTTTGTAAGTCTAATTCTGTTTGGTCAATTCCTATTGGACAATATTATGGTCGTCCTAGATAGCAATGCCACGTACTTCAATGTTGTTTCCCATTGGTCGTCCTATATATCAACGTTAAATACTTCAATTTTGTTTCTGATTCGACCTAACTGTATAAATACGCATTATCTGTAACGTTTTATGATCCGGGATTCTTATCTTCTTCTGGACTCGGACCTCGTACTTTCTGGATGCATTTAGAATACAGGTTCTACTTCATATCAAGTCTTGTTTCACTCACTGGGGGTTTGGGACAATCGGATTAGAGTAGGCTGTCGTGTCGCCGGATCCTCGCTCTCGTTTTCCGACTAAGGTAAACTCCTAATAGTTCAAGCATATCAATCTACATGTTTACGTGAATGCGTAACAGCAGCCGGGAAGTAACATCCGCCCTCATACCTATAAAAGCACACGAGAATCAAATCCTTTCTACACCTCTACTAATGTGAGATTTGAATAGACAATTGCCTCTCTGTGCTAATGTGGTCTGTCACCTTGAACTAATGTACGCACGAAGTCCTACGTTGTAACTGACTGACTGACTGCATACTATAATATCTGTTAATGATAATCATTGTGAAATTCTCTTTATTTACATACACTAAAGATTTCAGATAAGAAATTTATCAATGGTTTTTCAAAACCAGAGAATGATACTAACATCATTGCAGAGGAGGAGTCAATACAAAACACTGAGGTGAAGAAGCATAAACGCAAAAAAACAAAAAACAAAACAGAACACAATAATGTTGAATAAAAATTCAAACGAAATTCTATTGTTGCAGTATATATAGTATTTGACAAAATATCTTGACATGTATGTATATATCTATGTACACAGGGATTATTTGTACAGTAGTATGAGCTGTTATTTTTTTAAGAACAAATAAACTACCATTGAACAGTGAACATGGACTTTTTTCTTTCTTCTTTGAATTCATGTTTCTCTGTGTGTTATTTCAATGTTCTAAACACACAGTTTATGCGTCTATGTGTGTTGTCTGTTGCGTAATTTTTTCTTATTTGTTTGATGAATTGGGTTTTTTTTATCGGTCGCTTATGTTATTTTGCATAGTTTGAGATCGGAGAAAAAAAGTGGTTGTTTTTCATTAGTCCGCTTTGTTTAGTTTAACATGAATTATGGTCTAATCCGCTGAATTAACACATATGTCATTCAGGGTCTCTAACCATTGATTACTATCAACATGGCTCAGTCCACTTGTCAGTGACTTTATGGATTTCTGCCATGTTTTGGTCTGACCGCACCTAGCTTTTTTCCAATCTACCCCTACACCCAATAACATCGCTTGTCGAGGCAGTCGGTGGTTGGGCATGTCCCAACCACCTATTAATCTGTCATCCTTAGCTAATACCCGTTTCTTAATAACAGCGTTGCTTACTCGATTGTCTTAGGATATACGAGCAACCTACTAAAGTCACCAATGATCGATTACCAGTAACCTACGAATATCTTCTATTCTCACTGGCCATGTTTCACAGCTATAAAGTAGGACGGAGCGAACTGTGCATTCGTCCTTTGGTTAGCAAACGGATATCTCGCCTACGCCATAAATGACGCAAGTTGACAAAAGCCAATCGAGCTTTCTGTATCCGTACTGAGATTTCATCTGTCACCAGACCATCAGCACTGATGAGACTCCCTAGATAAGTAAAGCGTGGACCATTGTATGAAATAAATTCATCTAACCAAGTCCTTGTGACCACCGTCTCACAAATGGCGTTCTCCTAAGCATGATATACTGAAGCTGAAGTAAAGATTTATTTCATAGCATATTCAGTTGTTCGTCTGAATTGCAGTCAGATCTCGGGTCACAAAATTAGATTCAAACTTGTCAGAAGTGAAATAGTTATCACAAATGGCATTAGATGATCAGTAGGAGTTGAATACTTGTTTGAATTTACGGTTTGTGAGTAACCTAATCATTGAGAATGGATTTAAACATTTACAACCATTGGAATTGTATAATTGCTTGGTAGACTTCAAGTTATCTAGTTTCCTTTTTTGTTAATCAATGTTACTTCTGTCCTTTAATAATAACCCTAAAGATAATTTTTGCACAATCTTTACTATTTTCTGATTGATTGGTATTAGTTTGGTTTGATAGTTTTCTTGTTTCGCTAAGCCATGTTCTGCTGCTAAGTATACAGGTTTTTTCTACTGCAGGTTTATCTTCGTTCACTATCAAGCGTTATCTTTACTTCTGAGCTTTTAAGATTCCATCGTTTGCTGGTTTAGTGTTGAAGCGTCATACGTATGAGTTAATTTATTATCGATTGAGCTATTCTAATACGATCAGTTCGTTTGTGGACTTGATGGAAGCAGCTAGAACGTAGCACTTCATTAATTAGTCACTAAAGCAGAAAATGGACGAAGTGTAGGAAAAAAAATGGTACTCATGCCGATCAATGTGAAATAGGGTCACTCAGTAGATAAAGTAACGTAAACATGACCTTCAAGTGTACAAAAAACAGCGGACTAGAGGTGGTGATAACTAGTCAGAAAAGGGCAAAGGTCTTGTGAAAAATTGAACTGAAGTAAGCGAATTCGCAGTTGCCATTCTGCGAGTATAGGTCACCGACTAGAATTTTCCAACTTCCATTGTCCTATATTCTTCCAAGTTATCCCCGAATGCTATTCATAATCTGATGTCTGCCTCCAATACCCTGAACAATGTGTTCTTTGGTCTTTTTCTTTGACCTAGAAGATCCCACGATTAAGCTTTAACATTCCTAACGAAAATTTAGTAATTCTGTGATCTCCTTAGCGCTGTTTCGTCCTAGTGTGACACTCTCACCGATGCAAATCCATCATCCCAGCAAGAAACAAACCCAAGACACTCCGATCATGCTGCTAGAACTTAACCTTTATACCACGGAGTTGGCTTTGAATTACTTACATTTATATTTTGATTGCATTTGCGATTTTATTGTGTTCGTGAATTTTCACTTCCGGCGAGCCCCACACTACGGTAAAACTATCTGTTTAACTCTTCTTGGTTTTCAGTGATCATCTAACCGAAGTTCGTATTTGGTGTGAAACGCCAAAATTTCAATTGAACCATCATTTACTATGTTATTTTATAAGTACTGGGAATTCATACAATTCGATAAAATTCCTCTCCAGTTCTTTCCAATTACTGTTCATTGTTTCTGTATCTACTTCCAATTCTCAGCATGTGTCCTTTTATCTTCCTCTTCTCCTTTGGTCTTGAGGATTCCAAGTTGGGGCTTGACTTGTGATGCAGTTAGGTGATTTCCTCAATGTCTTTCTTATCCATCTCCAGCGCTTTTCCTTGATTTCTTTCTCAAATAGAATCTGGTTTGTTCTCGCCCACAGTTGGTTGTTGTTGTTGGTGGTGTTTGGCTAACGGATCAGGATTATGTTGCGTAGACAACTGTTAATAACCACCTGTATCTTGTGGATGATGGTTTCCGTAGTTCTCCAAGTTTCTGCCTCATATAGTAGGACTATCTTAACATTTCTATTGAAAATTCTGATCTCGTTGTTGGTTGATAGTTGCTTGGAGTTCTAGATGTTGTTCAACTGTAGAAATGCAGCCCTTGCTTTGCTAATCCATGTCTTCAACTTGACATCAGATCCACCTTGCTCATCAATGATGCTAACCAGGTGTATAAATGTTTCCAAAGCTTCTCCGTCAAATGTGATTTGAGTGATGCTTGTTGTGTTTTTACCGGAGGATCTTGCTTTTTCCATTGTGTGTTGAGACCCACTGCTACAGCGGCTACTGCTACACCAGTCATTTTCTCTGAATTTGTTGTTGTGTTCTCGAGATAGAAGGGCTAGATGATCTACAAAGTCCTAATCCCTCTGCTGCATCCTATTTTATCCATTGTATCGCATGTTTCTCTTCCAGTCGACCCCCAGGAGAAAGAAACAAAGGAGGGTAAGCAATCTTGCCATGTGTTTGCTATGTGGAATTCATTATTTTTCACTACCATCTACTACTAAACTAACCACCTCACTCGAACTTTCACACCCTGCATTTGTCTTGAAAGACGTAACTTTTATTCAGATGTTAAGACATAGGTATTGTGTTATTGTTCTTGCTTAGCAGTTTGTCTCAGACTGTTCTTGCACTTTTGCATTGGCATGTGTTCTTCTCTACTTAATTTCAAAAAATAAATTATTTTTTATGTGCTTTTCATTTTTTTGTTTGTCATTTATTTTAGTCAAGCGATAATGAGTATCATCCACCTGGTAATCATGTGTACAGTGTCAATGCTTTCATTTGCTGATGGTGATATTACTACTACTACTGCCACTACTACTGTGACATTGAATGATTCAGTTAACATTGCGCAACCTCATTTTAATTGTAATCTAACTCAACATGGTTTTCATTTACGATTACATTGTGATTTCTATGATTTTTCAATGGATCTATTGAAGTCTTGTCAACTTCATGTAAATTTACCATCAGGTATTCTATGGTGATGTATTTTTATTTTACACTGTCTTATCATCATCAATAACAATGTTATTTGTCAAACCTAAGGAATCCTCATATTTTTGCTTGTCGTACAATAGTAGTTAGACAGTAAACTAAATTATTCTCCACTGAAATTGGTATAGGATTGTTATCTCAAATCCATTTTACTGGATTATACTTCTTAAATAATGTCTTTGGACCGTGATCTTTCCGATTACTACTAATACTTCTACTACTATGGGATTTGAATTGACAATTGTTTATCACTGTGCTACGGTGGTATGGTAATTTGAACTAATGTACGCACGTACGAAGTTCTACATGGTAACTGACTAAGGATTGTTGTCACAAATCAATCATAGTTTAGAAATATGAATGATTAAATTACGGGTTAGTGTCCAGAATGCATTGTTCTCATGGACGCGAATTCAAAACTCCTTGGGTCCAATTCTTTACTCTGACGTAAATACACATTGATATACATCTCTGTCTTGGAACAATTAGTTGTTGTATACTACACGCCATAGTGTTTAGATATTTCTTGAAGAAACTTTTCTTGATTGCCGTAAGCATAAACCAAGTTAGTGGTAGCGCTTTTAAATCATCGAATCACTTCATAGTTTAAGATCTCAAACTAGATGTCTGTTAGGTTGGTTACATTTTAAAATCTTCTATAAGTTATCGGCAAAAAATCAAATTCACTTAAATATGTTCATGTACTGTAATGTGCAACTCAATTAGGTATGTTCAACTACTTTAGTTGTAAATCTCCCTATGAAATTCAAATAAACATCGGTTCACATTGTAAACTGGAATAGTGTGTAGAGCAACATGGATACGAAAATCTGAACTATGGAAAAAAAAACAGAAAAAGTAATCCTGCGATTCATTTTTATATATAAGAATGATAGTACTTGGTAATGATTAACTATAATTCCGTAATGAGATTGAAATGATCTGGCAATCAAACTTAAGAGAAATATTAAACTAGGAATTACAAATATGTCACAGATAACGATATGCATAAATGAGAACTCGTCTCTTATAAATTTCACTACTTTTAGTTATATTCTCTGTTGTAACGCTTGGTTAAATAATTCCCAGCTAAATCCTATTGCTTAGTATTCTCTGACCACAATACACTGGACAAGTTCCCAAGAATCAAAAACACGGTTTAATAGGAAAAGATTATATTCCAAATAGCAACGTTAAATGGAAATAAGAAGCCAAAGGTGATGGCGAAGGTGAAGGCCAAAAATAGATACAACGTTAGTTTCATTGCGGAGTTGTTGTGAAGCTTCTGGATAGAAATTCACGTGATCGACTGCATTGGATTTAATCAATCAGCACGCAGCTAACAGTACGAGAATCTCTACTGTTCTCCAAGATTCGATCAGGCGCTGATTGGATAGGAAATTAGCCAATCAGTGCGCAGCAACGTAGTCATGCTTTAATTCCATCTATGTACCCCTAACATTCTCTAATTCACTTGTGCTTATTAACCCTAATGAAGCATAGACCGCCGACCAGCGAATTATTTTTCTGGTTAGCTTTTTGCTTTACCAAGTTGGATTTCTACCGGATGGAGTCACTAGACTCATCATGCCTAACCCTCTTCCTTTTTCCAAGCTTGAGACAGGCAATCACCCTAGAAGGGCTTCAGGTGGAGTTCCTTTTCTTCAAAATATTCACTAAAGTAGGCGGAATGGCTATTTCAATAACCTAAGCTAAATTTCATTCTCTGGTATTCTCCTCTTTCAGTCAGTCAGATGCAACGTAGAACTTCGTACGTAAGTACATCAGTTCATGTTGCCATACCACATCAGCACAGAGATATAATTGTCAATTCAAATCCAATAGTAGAAGAGGTAGTAAAGGTATTAGAAGTAATCAGAGAGGTTAGGATTAGAAGATATTATTCAAGAAGTATGATTCAGTGAGATAAGTTTAGAAAGTCAAAACTAGAGGTGTTGAAGAATCCAGAAGATTAGGATTTGAAAGAGAACACAAAGAATAAATGCACCGGCGCTATTGCACTCACCATTTAATATCAACTACTCCTTCCTTGATCTTCTAACCTACTTTCACTATGCGTGTGTGTTGTGTTCAACATTTTCAGGTTTTTTCATTGATCCATTCGAATTGAAATCCAATCAACCAGAATTAAAATTCTCCATTCATAAATCAAATGATGCCGCTGCTATACAACAAAAATTACCTAATTCCATTAAAAAACTTGTTAATTGGTTTGCATATTCTAAAATAAAACAAAAGAAAACCATTGATCATTCGCATGAAAATGACCAATCACTGTATCAAAACAATATTGTTGATATTGAAGCACCTGAATGGCTTGCTCAACCGTTAACATTCAAATTTCATATTAGTCAATTGGATCAACTCAAATGGGGAATTGATCAGTTGTTAATTGATTTGTCTTCATTAGATGTACCTATTCATCTAAGATATCAGTAGGTTTTTTATTGGGGGGGGGGGGTATTTATTTATTTGTTAAATATGTTTTGATTGTGTTCATGTACTTACTTACCTACTTACGCCTTTGTTATAATGCTGCTACGTATAGCTATTCAGTCCTAGCGGTGTCCAATTCAAATATCCCAATACGACCCAAAATGCTATTTCCAAATCTCCTAGATATCAGAACGCAACACCGTGAGATGGAGTTGTTTATTGGGTCGAGTACAGAATAGAGGTAGGCAGGAAGAAACAGAATCGGAATCATGGAATCTTACATGATAGTGCGTATTTATACATTAAGGTCGAATAGGAAACAGCATCAAAGTCTGTGACATTGACAGTTTAGGACGACCAATAGTCCGGATGACCAATAAGAAACAACATTGAAGTATTTGACTTGGACAGTTAAAACGACCATAATTTTGACCAATAGAAATCGATCAATGGGATTATACTTCCAAAAATAGTACACTTAGGATATTTGGTGAATATCCTAACAGCCTATTACCTCCAATGGAGCATAGGCTGCTGACCAGCGAATTATTTTTCTGGTTAGCGTCTTTTTTGTAGCGAGTTGGATTTCTATGGGATGGGGTTGCTTTCTAACCACATCATACCCAAACTTCCTCCTTTATCCGGACCTGGAACCGGCAGTAACTGTAGGAGCGCTCCAAGCAGAATTAGTGTATACATGATGTTCGATAAGAAATGTTGTTGGCTATTGTCAACCATTAAATATATGTAAGTGTATTCGGTGCTGATTCATTTTGACTAGTAGTGTAGTGAAGGAGAACACAGGTGAGGGCAACCGAATTGTGTTTATCGCAAATTACAGAGTTAATTGGTAAAATAGGAAAACCATATCGTAAATCGTTAATTTGCAAAATATCAATCCATCATATCGAACTGGACTGTTTCTGTTGCAAAACATCAATCCATTGTCTGATATTTCACCACTGTTCATGTGTTTCATGCAAATCCCATTGTGTTCCCGCTTTTCCTTTCTTGATCTTCCCCCATCTTCTGCTGCCAGACATTACGTTTTTACTCGCGTCATAAGCTACTTATAAGTAGCGCTCACCACAGTAGTAGTCACAATGAAACTTCATCAATAGTTAATTCTATCAGCATGGAAGGGGTTTAGATAAATATGTTTTACGTTACTGTTCTACAGTCAATCAATAGTAAGTATTTATTCTACATTAGATCAGTCGTGACGTAAATATCTTAATGGTAATATCTCATTGTAAGACTAAATTATACAGCTTTCGATTTCGGTTCCGTCAATATTGTATGTATTCCTTGTTGACATGTGTCAATTAGAATGAAACTCAGGTACAGGGTTTTGTATGAACTACGTTCAATCACTCAACGTGGTTCATTCACAAATATCATTGTGCTACAGTGCTGGTTAGTAGTGTTCAGTCATAATTGTTGTCTGATATAGGGGT